CCCCAAAACCCCAAAACCCCAAAACCCCAAAACCCCAAAATATAATAATTATTTTGAAATAAAATTGGTTTTGTGATGAATAATATGAAACTCAAACAATCATCAACTCTTCCTATTAACATTCAAAAAATATCTAAAAGGGAGCTAAAGAAGGAGAAAATTCAACAAGGAGAGAAAGCTTTGGAGAGACTCGCATCTCTTATAGATAAACCTTTCAGATCTCCTACTGATCACATTAATCAGCTTAAAGAAGAAGGTATTTTCAGCCAAAACTTCCATAAAATCTCTTAATTTCTAAATTTTGTAACTTTATTCTACAGAAAAAGATAAAAACAGGAATAAGAATGAAATATAAAAAGAATAGTGCTAGAGTCAGGAAATATTAGAAAATTCTTTAACAGATCTCCAAAGACATCAAGGAATATTAATGCAAATAAATTTCCTCAACCTGGATCTTTCGCCTCAACAGCTCAGTTCAAGTCTACAATTGACAAGAACTCGCCTTTGTTTGAGAAAGACCAGAATTTTGTGTATCAATCCCCAAGGAACAAGAACTCAACTATAAAACTGAAGGCCATAAATACTGTACAGAAGGAGCCATTTGCTCTTGAAGGTTTTTGCAGATCATCTGAAGGCAAACGTACTGCTCTATTCTTACAAAGGACCAAGACACATGAGGTAGAAAAGCCTAAGGTATATAATAAAGTCCAGAACCAGGCAGAACATTTAGATAGTAAGCGATACAATTCACTCTTAGGGATAAAATAGAGCAAAATCAAGAGTGACTACAGTTTATAAGAAGAAAGGCTTATTCAAGTCGCTCACCAATAGATCTCCTCTTCAGGATAAGCTCTCTGAGATTAAGGCTATCGATACTGGGTTCAAAGTTAACCATATACAGAGAGCTATGAAAAAGATGCAACAACAAGAGAACGTACGCTTTTATACAATATTTAGCTCTCAATGGCCCAGAGAATCAATGAGCAAGCTGATAATGATAATTTCGAAAGAATTTGTACAGAAATGAAGCATATCAGAGTGGACTATGGAGCCAGAAGAGACCAGCCCAAACAGGAAGATGCCAAAGCTCGTAGAAGGAAGCTTAAGAATCTGTACAAACCTAGAGAAGTCCCTGAAGAATTACTAGAAAGACCAATTGATATGTTCCTAGGAGTGAGGCCAGACATAGTATGTGTGAATAAGAACACAGAGAAATGGATAGATAAGAGAAATCCTAAGTAACAATAGAGCAGCTACGAAGAAAACTATTCAATTTGCAAAGGATCTATTCCTTAGCTGGGATGATGACGGATCTGGCATATTAGAGGAAGAAGAGATTGTACATCCTCTTCTATCCTTAGGGTTAGCCTCAGACTCTGCCTTCGCAAGACAACTGATATCTACACTAGATCCTAAGGCTAACAAGCCAGGCCATGATGAATACGAGCTTACTCTAAAGGACTTCGTAAAAATATTTAGTATTGATAAATTCACACAGAAGATGACCAATATGGTCAAGAAAGAGTCAATGGACACTTTGATGGAAGAATTTAAAGATAAAGTCAAAAATGGAGACATTAAAATAAAATACAAGCCTAAGCCAAGGCTGAATGAAGGGATTCCTTCTTCAAGGCCATCAAGGAGGTGCTCAAATTGGTCGAACTGGTCAGACATCACTAAATTTACTCAAAGGTAATATTAATAAGTTCAACATAGGATCCATTTAGGGGTTTTGGGGTTTTGGGGTTTTGGGG